TTGTGTATTGGAGTCCCCTTTCCCCTCGCTAGTGTGGATATTTGGGTTAGCACATCATTCATTTGGAAAAGCACTTTCTAACAAATGAAGGTGTGGAAATGTATAAGAGAAACTGATCAATTCTCCTTCTCCTTATGAAATTCCTTGAATGCAGAGAGTCCTCATTCCAACTGATACATTGAGTTGACCTAATTTTTTGGAGTCTTTATTTTTTAAATAGATTTTTATTGATATCTTTTATCTTGACATTGCCTGTATTTCCCCCCTTGCACTCCCTCCCTATTTTCCTTTTAGAGAAAAAAAAAGAAAGAGGAAAAAAAAATCAGCAAAACTGGTAGATATACATACACAAAGCTGGTATATACACACATATATGTATACATGTGTGTATACATACACACACACACACACACACACACACACCTTGTTATATGTAATGTTCCACACCCATGGACCTCCAGCTTCTGAAAAGGAGTATGGGGAAACCTTATCTCACAGCTCTTTTTATGGGCTATAGTTGTTTTTTTGTAATTTCAAAAAAAATTCAATTTCAATAGCTATTTGGTTATTGTTTTTTCCCTTTAATTTACATTGTTGTAGTCACTGCGTACGCTGTTTCCCTGGCTCTGCTTTCTTCACTTTGCATCAGTTCATGTAAGTCTTTCCAAATTCCTTGGTATTCACCAAGATTGTTTCTTACAACACAGTAGTATTCCATTACATCTATGAACCACAATTTGTTTAGCCATTCTCCAGTTGATGGCATCTACTTCGTTTCTAGTTCTTTGCTACCACAAAAAGTTCTGTGACAAATATTTTGGTGTTTATGGAGTCTTTCTTTTTGTCAATGACCTCACTGGAGCATATATCAGCAGGGGAATCTCTGTCAAAGAGTATAGGCATTTTAGTCGCTTTATTTACATCATTCCAAATTGCTTTCCAGAATGACTGCACCAATTCACAGTTCCACCAATAGCGCATTATTGTAGTACGGCCCTAATTTAACGGAGGAATGACATTAGCAAAGACAGAAAGCAGGAGAGGGCAACAAGAGAACAGGGGATGACAAATAGTCCAGTTTTGTTGGAAATGAGAGTATGTGAAGGCAAGTATTCTAAGATAAAAGGCTGTAAAAAGTGGTCAGGATCCAGACTGCAGGACCTTAAATGTCAGGTGAAGGAGTTTATACTGCATTTCATTGGCAAGGGGGAATCACTGGAAGTTTTTAATCTGTGGCTCAAATAATTTTCCCTTTATTGATAGTAACATATATTGGCAGCCCTCTCACAACATAATATGGAATGAGTATAAAATAGACATTATCCCAATACCAAAGTTATCATGGAACAGTGTCTGCTACATTTAACCTGTTTTTTTTGGCTAGGCAATGGGGGTAAGTAACTTGCCCAAAGTCACACAGCTGGTAAGAGTCAAGTGTCTGAGGGCAGATTTGAACTCAGGTCCTTCTGACTCCAGGGCCAGTGCTCTATCTACGCTGGAGGTTTTTTTGTTTGTTTTGTTTTTGTTTTTTCTTTTTAGGCAATTGGGGTTAAGTGACTTGCCCAGGGTCACACAACTAGTGTCAAGTGTTAGGCCTGAGGCTGGATTTGAACTCAGGTCCTCCTGACTTCAGGGCTGGTGTTCTATCCACTGCACCACCCTAGCTGCCCCTCCCCTGGAGGTTTTTAATGCAGGACAGTGATAAATTGAAAATGATTACTAAAATTACTGTGCTTCACTTTTTTCTATCTTTTAAATGAAAATTATAAAAAAGACTTTCACTGATACAGTGAGAGAATAGAGCAATTAATAGCTGTAAGATGCTTTAAAGGGCCTTTAAAGTGGAAAGAGGGGGCAGCTAGGCGGCACAGTGGGTAGAGCTCTGGCCTTGAAGTCAGGAGGAC